AGCCTCTTAAATTTCTCTAACTAGAAATATATGTTAAAAAAACAAAAACGATTTTAAATTTTTTTGTAGTTTATTGCACTTTTTTGCAATTTATGTAATTACCATGCACTTAATGCAGACATATTATTAAAATATGTCTGCATTAATGTATATCAACTTGAAATGCTCCCAATAATGGCACTACAGCATGTAAAAATATAATATAAGCTCTGGTGGACTTCTTCTATGGTACGTCTTAAAGAGTTAAGGAGCCGAAGTCAGCGGCAGCAGAAACAGATGGAACAGCTCAGTCTCACTGTTACTGTCACAATATTCAACTTTAAGGACACTTTCTGCAGACCTGAGGGAAATCCCAGAGATAACACTGTGTCAGGCTGCACACAAGCGAATATGCATGAATAAGGCAGCTTTTTAAAAAGGCTTTTCTACAGTAAAGAACAGACGGTGACTTATCCAGAGGGACATCATCATAAGACCTGCTCAGTCTGCAGGTTTGCTCACAAACAAGTCAACACTTTAGAACTTTCTGGGGTGTTGGTTGATTTTCTTTCTCTCTCCATTAAAAAAAACTGCCGACAGCAATTAAACTTCAGACTAATACATGATGGTAATTATGTCCTCGTGTGTAATTTTCAGACTTGGGAAAATTATGATGCAGTTAGAGAAAAAAAAATAAGAGAAAAACAAGGCTAAAAACATCCATTCATGCAGGGATTACCATAGCAACAGAGTCATTTTCTTCTGACAATACTCATGTGTTAAGAATCAGCAGCGACACACAGACAGAAAGTATTAACACTTTGGTTTGAAAATAGATTCTTTGGTTTGTTTTGCATGTGTGTGTGTGTGTTGGCTGTAGAGAGTACCGTTTAAATGACTTACTGAGAACAAACACAATGTTCCTTGGCGAAGCTGCTCAGCAAAAAAGGAGTTGTAAAGCTAACAGGGACGGCTAAGTATTTGAGTGTTTCGTACGGCGCTTGCTGTTTCACGGTTCATCACAGGATAGTTATCGTACAGTCACGACGCTACAAATAGAGACACAAAGCAAAGGAAACATAAAGCAGCATTCAAGCTATGTTACAAAGAAATATCAGGCACACTGCAGCTGAGTCAGTGTTAAAGCTGCCTGCTCTGGCTCTGAATCAGCTCTAATGGCACTTTGTTTTAGAGCACAGTCAGTGCTGTGGCCTGTTGGCTCATATTCTACATTCTATGTCGCTGTGATTGTAAAGTGCATATGATACGACTTTCACAGATATTGTGTGTATAGCAAGCGAGGTGTTCAACTCTAAAGCTTTATTTGTCCCCCATGATAGACAGTACCTCCACCCCCTGCAGGAGGCTGTGGAGGCGCTGAGAGCTCCTTTAGCAGTGACTGTTACAGCCACGGAGCAGCTCCTTCATCCCCATAGTAACACTGTGACACAGATTCAAATGTACAATCTGAAGCTCATGGGTGGGTTTGTTTGTTTTTTTTCTTTTTTCAAAAAAAAGTAGTGAGAAACAAATCTGGGCATGCATGACGCTGTTTGTGCCCGTTCAGCCATGACTTGGCGTCTAATACAGGGCTGTCCAACATACAGCCAGCGGGTCACATCAGGCCCCTAATACACTTTCATATGTCAGTTATTAATGGCCCGAATGTATGTGGGAGCTGAATCTTCAGTCCTGCTGATCTCCATGCAAACAGGGGTGGGATGATACAGCCAATCACAGGCAAAGACAGACTGGGTCATACCACTGTGTCAAAGAATAACAGTAAGTTTAATGGTACCATTTATAGCTATAATTGTGGTTCACCATCTAAAGTCAGTGTGCCACCCCTGCTCTAAATCATGAATTACAGGAACTGTTAACGCTAGGGTTGCCAACTCCCTGAAAAATAAATAAGGGACACCTCGTGGCCAGGGCCGGGCAACCCAGTTCACCCTTCCCAGTGTGGTGAATTTTGTAGCTCTTTTTTTGTGTGTGAAATTATTTTTTAACCATTTGACTTGAATTTGATTTAAGCAGATGCATATTCTTTGTGATATGACCATATGTGAAACAAATGATCATTTAGCCATTTATTTTTAGCTCAAAATGACAACATTAACACAGTAAAACAGGTCTCTTTCTTAAACAGAAGCCTGTCATGCTTAACTTTTGAGAATATAAGTAAATCTTTCTTTAAAAGAACTCTGTCCTGCTTAACTTAAAATTATATAAATTAATAGAAAACAATAGAACGAAAAATACTCTTGTAACAGTGCACATATAGTGCATTTAGTACAGTTGGCTTCAGTTGAGGTATTATTTCAGCTTTTCTAAAGCTAATCAGCTGCTCCTGTTTGTAAACCCGCTTGTTCCCATGATTACGCACCTTAACTCATCATCATTATTCATCTATGTATTACTTTTATGTATTAGTCATCTATTTGTTGTAATCATCTATCCTTGCAGTTGTTTATTACACAAAATAAATTATATTATCACACTTCTGGCCACATAGCGCTGATATTCACCGCACATGCCCATATTAACCTTAACCAGAGGGTTTAAAAAAACACAAACCAGTGTTTACATACCATATCTGCTTCTGCCGTGGCCTGGTGGACAAAAACTTGGTTAAGGGTTCCCCGAGCTTTCACGCCCCTCATGTTCTTCATGTGCCCCCACCACTAGAAGCATGCCTATGGAAAAAGTGCGCCGGCACACAGTGCAGTGCGCTTTATATGTGTTATCGTGCATTTTCCCAGCCAGGTGTTTTCCTTTTCCCATTCCTCCCTGTACTTTTGCAGCCTTTTTTTTTCTTTCTCTGAGGGGAACAAACATTGCTGCTCTAATGCTGGGCTTACACTGTGCGATTTTTGGCCCATTTTGAGACGATTTTTGAGTCGTGCGACCGATTTGGTGATCGGCCCAATTTTGGCCTTCATCGTGCATCGTGTAGTACACGTGGGGTAACGAGAAGCGATTAACACCTCACGACCAGCTCCCGATCATCAATCGCTTGTGAGGGTGTCACCACAGCCGCTCACACTGCTCACGCGCAAACACGTAAACGTCGTGTGCTTGTTGTTGTGGTCATCTGTTGTCTTCCGGTATTTTCTCCGTAAGCGACCTTTCCTCGACCAATGAGATGAGCGGTAATCTGAATTGTCATACTCGAATTGTCATAAGTGTGGTGTCAGCTCATTGGTCACAAAGCAGGAGAGGGGCTGGGAATTATGTTTTCAAACAAAGCGTTAATTCCATAAACATTTATAGACTACTTTTGATTCTCACTGTATTACGGGACAAAGTGCGTCCCTTATTAGCTCAATACGGGACGTGTACTTTTGTTTCTAAATACGGGACGATTCCGTTTTTTAAGGGACGGTTGGCAACCCTAGTTAACACTCTAGCATAGCATCAGTATATAGCATAGCAAGCATGTCCAGTCAATTGTGACATGCGCAAGCAGTGCCTTCATTAGCAGCTAACGTTAGCCATGCTACCTGCCTGTTACTGACAGTGTTCATGTGCAACACCCTGATAGTTGATGTTGATGCTCCACAAACAGTGATTTGATTGGCTAACGTTGGTTCGTACTGTTAGTGGAATAAATTCAGTCTGTTCGTGAACGTGTGGAGAGTCTTTTGACAACAGCGTCTTTTAGTTTTGGTCATAGTCGATGAGAAACAGTTTCACTGTTTGCTAAAAGAGGTGGACCGTTTGGTGGGAGCAGATCGAACATGTGCTTTAAACTTACTGCACTTCTGATTGGATCTTGTTCACTGACAGAGGTGTTTAGTTATCGTCTTGTTTTCATCATGAACATCAGTGAAACTAATGTGACTCCTGCCTGTGAGTCCAAACATGCTAAACAAGTACCTCCTTTAAAGCAATAGCCATGAAAACTGTAGATTATAAGAGGAAAACTGCAGTGAAATCAAAACCTGTGGTTATCTTTAAAAACAAACCACAAAAAGAATACATACATATGAGTTTCCACCCTTTACATGTAATCTCAGCATTATCACTCATTGTAACAGCTGTTATATGAAAAAAACCAAAGAAATGAAAAAAAAAGTTTTCTGTTTAAACTCAGAGGCAGGACTTTCAGGTCAGAGGTCGGTGTTAACAGAATCATCAAGATTAAACACAGAAACAGAAATATGAGAGAAGACCCAAAGTCAAAAGCAGATCACATGTAGGTGGAGCAAACCGCCTTTTGCCAGCATTCAGTGGTGGAGCTGCAGGTGAGAAACAGGAGACAGGTGTGAGACATGATCTACTTCCTGCTTTCTACAAAGTCTCATCAACAATATCTGCATAAAAGGACACGTTCCCCTCCCATAGCAACAACCCGACACCTTCTCTATGATCCATCCCGCCTGTTCCAGCTGCTGCTCTGGGCACATTTTCATGGCACATTTTGGACCCCTCAGTGTCTGAGATTGTGTGAACGTTACAACATACGTGAGCATTGCTGCTGACCATGTCCATCATATTTTGGTCACAGTGCACCATCTTCCAGCAGGACAAAACACTGTGAGACTAATTGGTGAACAGGACAGTGACTCAGTTCTCGGTCCAGTGGAGAAATCTTGGGATGGAACAAGAGATTCACATCGTGGATGTGCAGGAACTGTCATTTGAACATGGAGCAAAATGTCAGAGCAAGGTTTCCAGCACCATGTTGCATTTATGCCTTGAAGGATTAAGACAGTTCTGAAGTTAAAAGTGGGCCAACCCAGTGCTAACAAGGTGTACCTAACAACACGAGCAGTGAGTGTAGATTGATGAAAACAACTTCATCATGTTTATTGTAAGTCATGATTAAACTAATTGTCCTATAACTCCTAGTACCTCGGCCTCATGTGTGCAGACGTTTTATGAAAGGGGCTCAAAGGCTGATCTTCACAAGGGGCTGTAACTGAAGGAACAACGCTTCAGGTGTCCTGCAGTGCACCCCCACCCACTTAAGCAAACAATTTAGGTGACAAGGGGAAGGTAAAACTCCCTTTTAACAGGAAGAAATCCTCCAGCAGAACCAGTCGCAGAGAGGAGCAGCCATCTGAGAGACCAGCTGAGGGGAGCTGACGTGGACAGGAGAAAAGACACGCTGTGCACTCTCAGAAATAGAGGTACGAGAGAAGAACATTTTTGTACCTATAGGTACATTTTTTTTAAAATGTTCCCTTAAAAGTACAATACTGGTCTTTAAAAGTCCAGAAATGCCCCTTTAAAGGTTCAATTTGAAATAAAGTACAAATCTGTACCATTTTGACCTGTACTGCAGTGACAGTGGCAGAACGTGGTAATGGGTCAGCATGGGAAAATCTGGATGGGCCTGGTTAATTGTAAAATTCATATGAGATGTGAGTGTGCTCATAAAAGCTACATGTTATAATCAAATCTGTTGGTCCTCTCCTCTGTACGTAAATTATCCTATGATGCAAAGAATATCTGTAACCTACCTTTGTGTAAGTTATGTTAAATTATATTTTTTTAAAAAACACACAATGACATGCAGGCACAACCAAATGATGTTAAAAAAACTGGTCCATTTCCATTTTATTAAGTTCCAGTTATAATTTTTTAATGTTTTAAATCTTTCAAAAACGTGAAATCATTTTACTGTTATGTTTGGACTTTACTTTTTTGCTTTTACTACATCCTAGAATTGTTCATTAATTGTGAGGTTTTTATGGAATTTGCAACATCAAGTTAAACCGAGGTTCTTTGGAAGTTAAAATGTCAAGCAGATTTTTATGTTACGGTGACTACATTTTGTAAGTTACAAATATAGTTCGCCAAGACAGCATAACGGTTTCTAAACAACTGCGCATTAATACCACAATGTTGTATTTCCATGTATCAAGTTCGCAACGCGCATTAATCCCAAAGGCTGAAAAGCCAGCAGCGATGAGTGCTCCGCCTCCGCGCTGACTAGCGTTGACACAGAAAATGACTCTCAGGGGGTTATCCACGGAGGAGCTCCTTAAAAAGTTGATGGAAGAACATGGGTGAATGCTAGCAGTTAGCTAAGTTTTAAACAAAGAAAGGTACAAATGTGGACTATTTAGACTGTTGGTGGAATGTTCAACGTCTGTCTGCCCGCCGTATTCCAGTGTTTTATCAATAAATAGTCAGTAACCGTGTACAACAATGTAAAAAAATCAATAATTTCTCAAAACATGCTAGTATGTAAATATAGCTATTAACAAAAATGTTTTCTAAGCAAAATTTATCGCATCTAACTTGTTTCCCGCTCAAAGGGATTTTAAACAATGGAAGGTACACATTTGTACCATTTCACCTACTTAGTGGGATTTGGGATTTTCGAATATGAGAACTGTAAGCTCTGTGCAGGGACACTGTCTGCAACCCAAGAATTGTTAAGATGATTGGGGAAACAGCTAATGATTTTTTTTGTCTCTAAATCTGATTATTATTATTTTCTGTACTAACTGATTAATCAATCTGTTTATTAGCTTTAGAATTTTTTGTTCAAGGGTTAAAGCACTTTACATTTATCTCCAGTCTGTGTCTTTAAACATGTCAAAAGTTTAAATCCTCAATGTAAAATGTCATTCTTTTGTCTATTCTGCTCTTTTCATTTCCAGTTGTGTGATGAGGTTGATTTAATGCATCCCTGCCAAGACAACATCTGTCGCCGCTTTAGCAAAAACTTCACTGCTGTTCTTCAAATGACCAAGGATTTGCCACTGAAGAAGGTCTACATGGAGGCAAGAGAGAATGCACTGGCTGAAGACATTACAGGTGCTAATTTGACCTCATACAAATAGTAAATTTTGTGACAATTCATTTGCTCTCTCTTCCAAAGATAATTGATGTACCATAGTGTCATGTGAAGAGCATGTTAATGGGAATTTGCATGCTATCAAAATCTAATGAAGTGCATTTGCATCTGTATGACCTAGGAATTGACTTCAAGGGGGCACTTCTCTTGCCATCCATCTTCAAGGAGAAGATAGAAGATTTCATCATCCTTGGAGAGGTAAATGCATGATGCATAGCCTTTGGCCACAAGTTTCATTCTCGTAGTTTTGTTGGCATGGAGCTGAATTCAGCTGTGGTTCAGCATCACAGCTAAGCTAATGTAGGGGAAACACTGCTGTTAATCCACAGTGCTGCTGTGCTCTTGGGTTTTGTCTGGTGTTTATATAGATAGATAGACCTTTATTGTCCCCTTAGGGAAATTCTTCTTCACAGGTACTGTCACTGTCAGGGGTGATTGCTTTTGCCCTTGAATATTATGTCAAACTTTAGCAGCTTATCAAACACTACCACAACAGTCATTGGTCAAGAAGCTTTTTGTTTGGAGTAGGGGCCATGTTTACAGGTTATCAGAATAGACAGTTTTGTTTTGCAGCAAATAAAGAAGGTAATTTGAGGAATCTGTTGAAAATCCACTTGGCACATATAGCTTAAACATACTGTATACTAATGTTTTTCTTCCTCTTCTGCAGAATACTCCCACGAGTCCATACCCAACCATTCGAATGAAGGATAAGAGTTGGACAACTGCCCTCTTAAGACAGTGTCGCTGTGTTGTAACAGTTGAAGGAGTGGATGTTTGCTCGTGCCGCTCGCTGGATGAGGCCTACATCTCAGCATTCTCCACCTTCTTCGTGTTCAACATGACCTACCCTGCATACTTCAAGAAAACACTTGTCTTTCTTCAGAACTGCATTGTCAACATAGGAGACCAGGGAGACAAACCCCTGCCAGTAAGTGTCACCAGGGTACTTAACCAACTCTATTAAATATGCCCCCACCCAAGTGTCACTACCTTATTCACTACCCAAGGCTGATTTTGATGCATGGTCCTCTTCGCCCTTTGTGGTGTATGGGATATGAAAGCAAGCATCAATATTTCAAAAATCTAGCGAGTAAATGCAAAAACTTTGTAAACATCACTGCAACTCTTAACAATCGTCATCAAATGAAACAGTGCTGGGAGTTTTCTTCAGATAAGTTGCTTGTTGACTTTGAACATTCACTCAGCACAAGTGTCAGTGTGCCATTTTCATCTCTGCCAGGTGACTTACAGAATGCTCTGGAAATGAACAAAAGTTTTACAGATGTGCATTTTCAGGATAAAGTGCTTCAGTGTGTGTCTGCTATATCTGTCAGCAGTGTCAAATATGAACTTGAGGATGTTTTTGTAGTTGGCCATGTACACACTGAAGCCATACCTATATTCCTTAAAATCAGGTATATTTTGAATGTTGATACTTGTTGGGTATTGTGTGGGAAACTGTTACTTCCTCGCACTTATGAATGTCATTTCCATGCTTACCAAGTGGCAGTTGACAATGACTGGATCCTGTTCAATCCAGGAAATGAATTAGACTTTCAAGCTCTAGACACGTATTTAGTTGATGATAGGCTGTTTGTGTCCTTGAGGTATTCTGTGTGACGTGATTGCAAGAACATTTTCCATTGTGTTCAGGTGTTTAATGTCTTTATGTGATTGTTTACTTTTTCTTTTTTTTTTTTTTTTAAATGAATGTATTTTTCTTGACATGTCCTATGGCAATATACGAATGTAATCAAGGATGTATTTCTGTGGTTGTTTAAATGCTTTGATGTGATTGTATTATCGAAAATAAATGGTTAAATAACCAAATATTTTGGACTATTGGGGGTACATTTTTGTCTCTTTAGGTACGAAATAGGTTGTCGCTGGGGGGGTACCCTCATAGGTACCCTATTGTACCCTTTTCAAGGGAACATTTCTGTACTATAGTTTCAAGGTACATTTATGTCTTAGGAAAGTACATGATTGTACTTCAGATGGTACAATTTCATAAGGTACAAAAATGTACCAAGCCTAAAGGGTACAGAAATGTCCTTCAAAAAGGAACACCCCCAGCGACAAGCATTTGTACCCTTTTTGGTACACTTTGGTACCCCTATTTCTGAGAGTGTGGAAGAGAGCCAGAGATTAATAATTACTAATGATTCAGTGTAGAGAGGTGTCTAAACACATAGTGAGGTAAGAAGAAACACTCATGGGAATCCCCCAGCAGCCTAGACTGCAGCGTAACCAAGGCAACTGTAGTTGTGATTTGAGGCACACAGAGAACAGATTGTTGACGACTCTACAAACTTACCCACTGGAGCAATCATCAGCTGGATGGTGTTGATGGTATCAGTATTCTCAATGTGAGTCTTCCATTGGTATCTTTCTTTGTCGACGGCCAGACACTCATATGTTCCATTCTCAGCCTGCGTCACATCCTGCAGAGCCAAGGACAAATTCCCACTGTCCATCCATCCATCCATCAGATGCAAGCGGCTAGTTGAAGATGGATACTTGTTGGCTCGATGAGACATCTTGCTCTGGTACAAAAGTACTTTTTCTCGCTTTAGGTCAGTTCTCCTCCACACTACAGCCGCAGTGGGATAATCTTTATGGACCTGACACGGCAGAATGACATCCTGTCCACACTCAGCTCTGATAATTGTCAGGGCTGTAGGAGAGAAGAGACAACACAGGACAGAATCAATCTTTTCTAAGTACATTTCAAGGCAAACGCTAACTCTCTCTCTCTCTCACACACACACACACACACACACACACACACACACACAAACCCATGCATGCACACACACACACACACTTCCTGTAACAAACCCAGGAAGATAAGAATTGTGTCACCAACTCATCACTTGCATGATCCTGAATCTGAAAATAGAATTACTGTGATTCTAAAAACAGGCCTTACTGAGAGCTGTGTGTGTGTGTGTGTGAGAGAGAGAGAGAGAGAGAGGGAGAGAGAGTGTTCACCCTGACACGTGTTTGTGGGGACCAAAAATTGGACAATTAATATACTTGTGGGGACCAACAGACCTTATGGGGACAAATTCTTGGCACCATGATTTTGAAGACATTTGTTGAGACTCAAAATGTGGTGTTAGTGTCAGAGTTACAGATAAGTTAGGGTCAGGCATTCAAACTCACATTCGCACCTATGGGCAGTTTTTGTTACCAGTTAATCTGACTGTGTTGAAAACAAACATGGGGAGACAAGCACAGAAAGACCCCAGCCTGATGGTGGAATTAATGAAGTAACTTTAAAGTTTAAATCATGTAAGTCTGAGTGAGAGCGATAAGGTGTGGTTGGACATCAGATAATTAAATATCAACAACTTGATTGTGACAAAAACAAAAAACAAAGAAAGAAACAAAAAAAGCAACATTTTACAACTTCAACCTAAAGCGCTCCATCTATGCAAGATAGCATGGGTGCTGTGTAGGAGTAAAGTCAGTCAAGTTTTTGGTGGTGCTGTCACTTGTTTTTTGTTCTCTTTGTGGTAGAGTATCATTTCCTGTTCCTGTTACAACACACACAGTGATAGAGAGGGCCAAATGAAACTTTCCGAAGCTCGTATTGAAAAAGGGTACAGTACTCGAGGCTTTTCAACACAAGTTTAGGAGTGACGGCGTTTGCAATGTTCAGCGTGTTTGGAGTCTAAAGTCAGTGTGTTGTCTTGTGTAGTTAGTGTGTAGTGTAGTCAATTGTTTTGTTGTGTGTGTCAGAACATGAGTCGACTGCTGAACGTTACAGGTGTTACAGGAGTGATACATCTCCTGCTGTCAGGCCTGCAGGTATCAGGCTGTTGTTCTCCTTTATCTCATAGTGGACAGAAATTATTTTTTGGAGTGGCACAAATAATTTGTGTGGCATCAAATTTGATGCAGAACAGCTGATTGTTCTGTAAATAGTTTGAAATGTTTATTTAAAAAAACACCTTGGCTGCATCTTTAGATAAACAGATGCAAAAAACTTTGTTGTTTGCAAAACTCAGTCACTTTTTTGAAGAAGTAACTATATAAGTAATTTCCCAACATTGGTCATTATATGCTGTATTTTGCAGACAGCGTTACAGGACTCTCTCCCAGACCACAGACTCATACTCATAAAGTCAGAGCTTTATAAAAAAAAAAAAAAAAAAAAGTTGTGCTTTCAAAATTGGAGTTCCAGTTATTTTTACTTCCAGTAGTGTTAACATACTACACAGGTCATGAACAAGATTTACTTTTAAATTTTCATTGTAAGTGGGCTAAAGCACTTAATTAAAAGTAGTCTAACATAAATCTAAATGCTGTAATTTGATTATTTTAATAAACCAAGTAACTTGGATGGATTTGATGCTGGCGTGACCACAGTGCACACGTCTGCTGTTGCTCACAGTGGTCCAAGGGATCGCTCAGGGAGTTGAAAAATCAGACACATGAAAAATTAGAGGGAACATTGCACATCATCATGAATATTAAACTGTAGTGTATATATTGTATAATATGAGTGAAAAGTAAACCATGTGACATGTAAACTTGGGTTACTAGGAAAGACCAAAATAATTTCTTTGATCAAGCATGTTGAATCTGACCAGAAAAGCCCCGAAATGAGAGGGAGCCACAGAGAGGAGGAGGATACGGGCTGTGAGGGACACACAGTGGACCAGTCCTTAGACCTGTGTGTCTCACACTGCCCTGTGATGACACTCCATACACGCAGTTTCATTAACACTAATGAATAATAATGAAAAGATAAAGTAATGAGTTACTATAGTTCTCAGTTACAGCCTCATGTTTACTCCATATTCATCTCTTTTCAGACATCAGCAGGATCAAGGATGACCCCCCCACCCCAGTCTGAGGACGTTCCCCACCACATGAATGGGGGACGGGAGGCACAGCTTCCAGCCCAGCTGGTAGGAAAGTCCTCCTTGGGTGGACTTCTCTGTAACTATGGACTCTGCCTGTTGTCATGCGTGCAGACGTTTCAGTCCATAGACATTTCAGCCAGTGCTTTTTAAACATTAACTGTGCACATGTGCGGGATGTGAAATCTTCTGTTTCATTGTTAAATGTTCATTCACTTTGTTTGTGCTCCAAATAAATTCCCTTCATAGATGAAGCAGTTCAATTTTGTCCTCTTGGTTTGGTTCAATGCCCCCATGAAAAAACACCCTGAGCCCAACCTGCTAAATCTGGTGTGGAACTGCCACTGCTGTGAAGCTTCATCTTCATGTATCAAATTCTGTACTTAAAAAGTCCCCTTCCACTCATTTTCATGTCCATTTCCTGCACAATGAAACCTGAGGCAATGCTTAAACATGAGTCTGTCAACACCTATAAACACAACAGCCTTCATGTGCATGAATCAGGGTCTGTCATTTAGCAAAGAAACTTCAAACACTAGTACAAAAACAATCAAGCGGTCCTTCCAAATCTCATATTTGAGCGCACGGTAATAAAAACACTTGAGGATAATCAGGGCCCGTGTCTGAATCTTGACAGATGCAAAAATAAACAGAAAACAAAACAGCAGATTTTTAGTTAGAGAAGTGAAGAAAATGCTGTTTTCATTTTCTTCCCAACATTAGAAGAGTCTAACATGATGCACACGTGTAGAAACAGACACATATACCTGTGCATGAACACTGCTGTGCAGACAAAACACACGATTTCCATCTTTCTCATGCAAAAACTCACCTACAGATCTTGTAAACCGGCAGAGAAGAATCAAAGCCAACACAGCTTTGCTGAACATGGTTGTATTCTCAGCAGTGGAGGTGCAATGCTCAGAGCTCCTTAGTCCTCTTGGGTTTGGGGGATATGAGCGCTCATAGCAAGAGGACTGCAAGGGTACAGACCTTTATACACTTGAGTGTGCTGACAGCAGTCATGTGCTCATGTTGCGTCTGGCCCTCACTGTCACACTCACTGTTTCCACTAACACATCCACCCGGCTGAGCAGCTGCACACACGTGTCTACACTCATACATGCAGCTGCTGAGAGTGACGTCAGGCTGCAGGTCAGTAACCATGGTTTCAGGCGACGCTCTGAAACTGATGATTCCAGCCAAAGATGTCAGGTTATTGTTTCCATGCAGAATCAAGACTGAAGACAAATAAATCCACTTTCTGTTTACATAGTGCTTTACTGTAATTCCCATGGTAATGCTGACTTATAAAAACAAAGGTGATCCATCAGTCCAGATGAATAATGTGAGCTCATTTAAGCGCACGTTTGTGTATTCAGAGCCATGAATGTTGATGTACTCTGTCCACTGATGACTAGTCATCCACCCATTCACACACTGGCGATGGCAAGCTGCATTGTAGCCACAGCCACCCTGGGGTGCACTGACAGAGGTGAGGCTGCCGGACACTGGCGCCACCGGGCCCTCTGACCACCACCAGTAGGCAACGGGTGAAGTGTCTTTCCCAAGGACACAACGACCGAGACTGGCAGAGCCGGCAACCTTCCGATTACAAGGCGAACTCCCAACTCTTGAGCCACGATCGCCCCCCATATAATACATATATTAGTAATTATTTTAAATGATTGAATATTTTAAATAAAAGTACAGTTATGAATCAGTTAAACAGCTAAGAGAGCGGGGTGAAATAAAGGCTTTAAGTCTGAGGCACCATGAAAGCGAGTTAATAGAGAAAGTTTAAACTCATGATTAAAGCTGGAGGACTGATGGATGGGGAGCTGTGTGTGAGCACTCCTGCAGGGATGGGGCTGCTGGCTGGAAGTAATTACTGAGGTTGGGTCAAGGAGATCGATCAGAGAGACAGTCTGAATAAACATCAGCACTTATTCGTTCAGTTTTATTCACATAGCATCAAATCAAATCAACAGTTCATGCACTTTATATTGTAAAGACCCTACAATTACATTCTTACAGTTAAAACTGCTGTAACTAATGATCTACATGGAAACACATCTATGGAGAGGAAATCCACCTGCTGAGGGTCACATCTGCATCATTGTAGCTACAGTCAATGTTTCAGTGTCAGGACTGAAGGTGGAGCTTTGTGTGTCTCAGGGTGAGCCCGCAGCAGCTGCCTCCAACCGAGGACATGCCTCCATCACTCTCAGCACTGGAGCCCCCCAGGGGTGTGTTCTGAGCCTGCTGTACTCGTTGTACACATATGGCTGTGTGGCCACTACCAGCTCCACCACCATCATTAAGTTTGCTGACGACACCGTCGTGGTGGGCCTGATCTCTGATAACAACAAGACGGCCTACCTGAAGGAGATTAGGAAATATATATTTATATATTTTTCTTATATATTTGTATATTGTGTATTTGTGTATTGTGCATTTTGTTGTACAGTTATTTTATTTTTAACTTTAATATATTTTATTTTATTCCTTCCTAGCTAAATTTACCCTTCATTTTAATTTTCATATTTATTTCCTATCCTATTCAGTCTTTTTTTTTTTCTTTAGGTCACGAGCAGTTGTCTAAGCATTTCACTGCATATCGTACTGTGTATGACTGTGTATGTGACAAATAAAATTTGAATTTGAATACTTTACCATCTTAAATCTAACAAATTCCTTCATGAATTACATTTAGTCAAAGGTCAAAGGTCAAATGCTTCTTTGTCTTTCTCCACAGAACCATTTCCATCCTGGACCACAGCTCTCCTGGCTTTTCTTGTTGTTTCTGGAGGTCTTTTATTCTATTTCTGGCAGTATTTCATGTCAGGTGAGTGTCTCCTACTACAGACAGCTGTCTGAAACATGCTAACACTGAACCCTCACACAGAACGTTTATGGCCTTTTTATCTAATAATGACAAAACAACGTCTGAGCCATGATCCTCATGTTGCTTTTAGAGAAAGTCATTAATACTTTTTATCAAGAGTAATATTACTATTATAATGATACTTCCCAGGTTATTGTCATGTGTTTTACAAGAGAAAAGGCATTTCTCTGAGCAATTCTTTCTTTGCTGTCCACCCACAGATGCCGATTAACATATACAATAGAAATAGAACATATAATACAAATAGTACAAATAAATAAATGAAGACAGAAAACAGACAAAATATGGAGATTTGAAACAGAGATGCGTGAAAAAGAGCTATAGCTTAATATGCAGGATGACCTGATGTGCAAAAAATCATTATTACTATTCAAAGTGGGTCGGCTGTTCAAGAGTGATGGCAGTGGGGAAGAAGGAGTTGTTGAGTCTGGATTTCAATTCAATTCAATTCAATTTTATTTATACAGCGCCAAATCACAACAAAAGTTGCCTCAAGGTGCTTCATAGATACAGAGAAAAACCCAACAATCATATGACCCCCTATGAGCAAGCACTTTGGCGACAGTGGGAAGGAAAAACTCCCTTTTAACAGGAAGAAACCTCCGGCAGAACCAGGCTCAGGGAGGGGCGGCCATCTGCTGCGACCGGTTGGGGTGAGAGAAGGAAGACAGGATAAAGACATGCTGTGGAAGAGAGACAGAGGTTAATAACAGATATGATTCAGCAGAGAGGTCTATTAACACATAGTGAGTGAGAAAGGTGACTGGAAAGGAAAAACTCAATGCATCATGGGAATCCCCGGCAGCCTACGTCTATTGCAGCATAACTAAGGGAGGATTCAGGGTCACCTGGTCCAGCCCTAACTATATGCTTTAGCAAAAAGGAAAGTTTTAAGCCTAATCTTGAAAGCAGAGATAGTGTCTGTCTCCCGAATCCAAACTCCAAATTTCACACTTCTAAACCTTTGTCTCGAGGGCAGAAGTGTGAACAGTCTGTGTTGGGGGTGTGTGGGGTCTTTGAGGATGGAGGCAGCTCTCCTCTGGACTTTGCGATGGTAGATGTTCTGCAGAGAGGGCAGCTGAGTCCTGATGATCTTCTCCACAGTTGTTATCACTCTCTGCAGGCATTTGCGGTCCATAGCAGTAGTACTGCCGTACCATGCAGCTGGTCAGTGTTCTCTCTACAATGCAGCTGTAGAACCTGCTGTAGTCCTTGTGGGTGTTTTTGACCAGTCAAATCTTTGTATTTCACTCTCTTCTCATTGTGTTTGCTGTTCTCTCAGAGTGTCGGGTGGAGGTGGAGGAGTCTGTCTGGTTGCCCTTTAAAACCACAGCTCAGCTGCCTGAAGACACTCTAGTAGAGTGGTGGCACCGTCCTGAGAAGCCTGACAAACAGGAGCGGGATTATAGAGACCGAGTGAAGATGAAAGACGAGCGTCTGAAAAGCAGACAGTTCAGCCTGACCTTTAAACGCTCCACAGAGAGAGGAGGACTCCCCTCAGTTATTACATTCATTCATTATTACGTTCTTAGCTGATCCTACATTACAAAATGATTTTAACAATGAATGCAGTGGTGAATATGCGTTTAACCTTCCTGTCATGTTCGGTTTACATGTTTCGATTTACAACTTAAAACACTCATAAATATTGTGTTTTGCATGCCATTGCCTCAAGACCTTATGACATCCTCCATACTATGCACTTGAACATATAACAGTGATTATCGCCTCTTTAATTGAAAGCTTGTAGACAAACAGCTTTTTACAGCTACAGTGTAATTACCTGTTTTGGTTCGGTAAGGGTTAATGACAGGATATCCTCAACTGCTGGTGAGCGAGAGAAACCACAGCAGAGACCTCTGTGTTTAAGAAGTGGACGGTTGTGGTCGCTGATGCTCTCTCTGGCTCAGTTTCACACACAGGTACAAGAGCACAAGCCTCCATGGTGGAGTAGATACTACAGGGACTACATCTGAATGCCTGTAGAGCAGTGTGTAGTCACAGGAACCTGCCAGAAGGTAGCAGCACATCACCCCAGCGTCACCCTCCTCTGCAGAGACTCTGGCAGGTGTCTGCAGGTTCAAACCTGCAAGTTTTACATAAAAGCTGATTTGTCATCTGATTCAAGATCAAACTCATCAGGATGCGATAGGATAATAAGATTATTCCTTTATGACATCATAATTAAATAAGAAATGGTTTATTTATCTCACAAGTTTGAAAATTAGGCAAAATAATATGAAAAACATCTCAGTATAAAAAATAAAATGTCAGAGGAAATGGCTTGGATAATTAAAAATAGTTAAAATACTAACAACAAAATCCCTTCATCTGTGCATGTGTGTATATCTGCTGGTTCATGTGTAGGTCTGTGTAGATGACAGTGAATGAGAGATCAGAGAGCAGATGAGAGAGCAGCAATTTCCTAATGTTGTAAACTCAACATTTGGCAATAAAACCCTTTCTGATTCTGATTCTGATTCTGATGATGATTCCAGTGTCACTAGGTGGCAGCACCAGACCGTGCTTTAAGATGTGGTTAGTGCTTTTTACTGTCTGTGGATGCTGCTGCAAGACAACTACTTATAGTTAGCTGTGAACTGACCAATTATGCTTTTAATTAAAGTGGCTGGAAAGACTAGATCCATGGTGTGAACTGCAACTGTGAGAAGCCTTTTTTTCCTCCCACTGTGTTTAAACCAGGGGTCCCCAATCCCAGTCCACGAGGGCCGGTGTCCTGCAGGTTTTAGATCTGTCCTTGATCCATCACAGCTGATTTAAATGGCTAAATTAGCTCCTCAACATGTCTTGCAGTTCTCCAGAGGCCTGGTAATGAACTAATCATGTGATTCAGGTGTGTTGACCCAAAGTGAGATCTAAAACCCGCAGAGATACCGGCCCTCGTGGACTGGGATTGGGGACCCCTGGTTTAAAAGACTGGAATGTTCTTTGTTACAACTCTCCCAGACTGACGTTACTCCTCATGCATGAGACTGAAGCAATAAAGGCTTTGTTACAACCCGCATTGGTCAAGTTACTTGAAAAAAGTAATCAGTAACTAATTACTGATTACTTCCCAAAAAAGTAATCCCGTTTTTTTTACTGATTACTGATTTTCAAAAATAATCAGTTACTTAGTTACTTTTTAAAAAAATTATTTACAACCTGAATAGGTAATAAAGCGATAGATCTTTCAGCCCAATTCTATTTTTTCTGCATAATCCATCATCATCCATGTTTTTTTTAAACTTGTTTTATTAGTTTTAATCTTTTAACTTTGCGCATGAGGCAAACATTAAATTATATGCAACATTCTCTAAATGGAAGAAATTTGTTTAACATTTAAACCTATTTTCTGCACATTCCTGCACATAAAATAAAATATTTTTTTGTGTTTACACTTAGGGCTGGGTATCGTCACTCATTTCTAGAATCGGTTCGATTGTGATTCACAAGGTCCCGAATCGATTCGATCCACGATTCGATTAAATTAGATTCGATTAAATTAGATTCGATTAGACTCCATTCAGTTTTAATCGGGGAAATTTTGCCTCAGACAGTCAGAAATATTAAAATTTTCGATCACGCATCAGTACATTTCTATATTTTTATATCTATAAAAACAAAGCTGACACTTGCGAGACTTCATCAAAGGTGTATAAGCATCACAGCAGATGCCTTTGTGTCAAAGTAGCTGAGGATAAAACACAGAAAAACATGAAGGTGATTTTCCAGGCCTGGGATTTTATAAAAATATTCTGCAGTAGATCAAAAACAAAGAAAACCATTAATCAACTTATAAACATTACCTGATGCTGCTGAACTGAAGCAGAGCAAACTTACAAAGGTTTTATTAGAGACACAGCTCTGCATGTAGGGTGATTTTATCGTGGTGGCAGCAAAACAGTAAGAGGGAATTCATGACGATGTTTATGTGAAGCATAGTTTGCTGCTTCTTTTGCTGCTGGTTCAGTCATTATTGTTTGGAGAGAGATAAAAAACAGCAGCTTCAGAATCAGGGCAAAAAGGGTGTAAACACAAAGCGTGGACCCGCCAAAACATCAGAATCAGTGAGCTCACTGATTCTGATCCGTCGGCGGGTCCACGCTTTGTGTTTACGTCTTTGTGCAGAATCTGTGTTCCTGCTCTCATTTACTGTTTTAGCTGTTTGGTGGTGGTTGAAATTTTGTGAGGTCTAACCTGAGATTCTGGCTTTTTGGGCGAAATAAATTTATATTAAAAAAAATCGATTCAGGATTTTAATGAATCGATATCACGTTATCCAAGCTATAATCGATTCTAATCGATAAATCAATAGTCAAAACCAACCCCTATTTACACTCACTCTTTCAAATAAATGCAAGTGAAACACAGCAGAAAATAAATAAAATCAAAGACTCAGTGGTCCTGTTGCTCTATTTTACCTGTATAGCAGGAGTGAGGCAGGCGGAGGTTTGCCGTGGTGCAGGTGTGTCATAGCGGTCAGTGGAAGGAAATGGCAGTTTCACATTCCCGTGGCAGCGTACTCGGTGCTTGCTTGGAAGTTTAGGGGTTTTTTCACTGTAAAAAGAAGTTTTCTTCCCACGCAGTGAACAGTGGACGCTAATGTTTTTGTCACTTTTTATGGAACCAAACTCAAAGTAAGGTCAGTACTTCCACGCTTTAAACGCTGCACGGTCATACGCCCCACCATATACATGATCTGCACAGCTGTTAATGAGATCAGTCAAAAAAAAAAAAAAAAAAAAAAAAAAAAAAAAAAAAAAAAAAAAAAAATAATAATCTTTAAACACTGCACGCAAAATCAATACTACCACAGACTGAATGAGGATGGATGGCACAGATGTCCTCACTATGTGTCCTGTTCAAGCACAACCACAAATATCAACAACACAGTAACTAAGAAGCACATGCACAAACTCTTATCTACTGATGGAGATGTCTTTAGTTTAAACAGCATCTAAAGTTTCATATATTTCATTTCCTTAAATCAAAACTCATTAAACACACAGCTTTTTTCTTTTTTACCAAAAAAACATCCTTAATCTTTGAGTTTTTAGTCGCTCAGCAGGTGTGTAATTGAATTTAATGACAAGATTAAAGACAATATATACAGATCAGATTCATGATGAATATGCTCAGGTCAGAAGGTGCAGCAGCTGGATTCCAGCAGTTGGACTGGTAGATCCCTTCGGTGAGGAGTAGGCGACGAACTCTAAAAAGTTCAAACAGCATGGGACTAGTCACAGTTAAAATAATGCACCACTTCACTACAACTACATCTACACTCAACAAAAATATAAACGCAACACCTTTGTTACTGCTCCCATTCCCCATGGGATGGACGTAGAGACCTAAAATTCATTCCAGATACACGATATAACCATCCCTCCCAAACAGTGGTCACAAATCAGTCCAAATGTGTGGTAGTGGGCACATCTGCCATATTGAGATAATCCATCCCACCTCACAGGTGTGCCACATCAGGATGCTGATCTGACATCATGAGTAGTGCACAGGTGTACCTCAGACTGCCCACAACAAAAGGCCACCCTGGAATGTGCAGTTTTTTGCGCTATTGGGGGTCTGGGGACCCAGAACCGGTCAGTATCTGGTGTGACCACCATTTGCCTCATGCAGTGCAACACATCGTCGCATGGAGTCTATCAGATTGTCAATTGTGGCCTGTGGAATGTTGGTCCACTCCACTTCAATGGCTGTGCGAGGTTGTTGGATATTCGTGGGAACTGGTACACGCTGTCGTATACGCCGGTCAAGCACATCCCGAACATGCTCAATGGGTGACATGTCCGGTGAGTATGCTGGCCATGCAAGAACTGGGACATTCTCAGCTGCCATCTGCCCTGAACAATGTGAACCATGATTCATCCGTGAAGCGCACACCTCTCCAACGTGCCAGACGCCATCGAATGTGAGCATTTGCCCACACAAGTCTGTTACGGCGACGAGCTGGAGTCAGGTCAAGACCCCGATGAGGACGACGGGCATGCAGTTGAGCGTCCCTGAGACGGTTTCTGACAGTTTGTGCAGAAATTGTTTGGTTGTGCAAACCAATTGTTCCAGCAGCTGTCTGGGTGGCTGGTCTCAGACGATCTTGGAGGTGAACCTGCTGGATGTGGAGGTCCTGGGCTGGTGTGGTTACACGAGGTCTGCGGTTGTGAGGCCGGTTGGATGTGCTGCCATATTCTCTGAAACGCCTGTGGAGACGGCTTATGGTTGAGAAATGAACATTCAATGCACGGGCGACAGATCTGGTTGACATTCCTGCTGTCAGCATGCCAATTGCACGCTCCCTCATTGCTTGTGGCATCTGTGGCATTTTGCTGTGAGACAAAACTGCACATTCCAGGGTGGCCTTTTGTTGTGGGCAGTCTGAGGTACACCTGTGCACTACTCATGATGTCAGATCAGCATCCTGATGTGGCACACCTGTGAGGTGGGATGGATTATCTCAATATGGCAGATGTGCCCACTACCACACATTTGGACTGATTTGTAACCACTGTTTGGGAGGGATGGTTATATTGTGTATCTGGAATGAATTTTAGGTCTCTACGTC